CCCGGATAGTCGAAGTCGGGTACTCAGGTCCACCTTGTCCACTATGTCCACTATGTCCACTATGTCCACTATGTCCACAGTGCTGACCATGTCCATCTTATATATCCTGTCCACTGTGTTCCTCTGTCCACCATGTCTACTAAGTCCACCTTGTTCACCATGTTCACCATATATTTTCCATCCACTGTGTCCACTGTGTCATTTGGTAATGGGGGACAACAGCAAGCAGGTGACAGATGAGGACAGATGTCCCCTAGTGGACAAATGGTGACCTGGGACAGTGGACATGTTCAACTCAGTGACTCTCACAAGCCAGTCCCAATGAACTTCTTCATGATGTGGCATTCATTATCAGCATGATGTGGACTTTGTTATCAGAGAGTTTTCAAGACAGTCCCCAGAAAGATATATATAGTGTACTCTCTGACTTTTTCCCCACCTCTTTTCCAATTATTCTATCTTCTTTCTTTTCAACTTCAAATTGGACCACTTCAGGTCTGTCCACCCATCCACCAGTATGTCCCCTTCTTATGAGCCTCACCCCTGCTTACAGTCTTAGATATCATTGCTCCTTCATTATAAGGGGACAGCAGCCTGTTTGTCCCCTTTCCAGGTGAGTTTCTGAAGTTGTCCCCTCAAGTCCCTCATGTCCCCTGTTGAAACTTTTGTCCCCTGCTGACCTCAGTTCTCCTTCAATCTTGTTCACCAAAATCCATTGCCCAGCAAGCTCAGTGGACAACATCTTCTCTGTCCCCTTCAGTGAGTCTATGCTTTGTCCCTCATGTCCCTCATGTCCCCTTCCCACACTTTTGTCCCCTGTTGACTTCAGTTCTTCTTCAAACCTGTCCACCAAAATCCACTGCCCAGCAAGCTCAGTGGACAGTCTCTGTTCTGTCTCCTTCAGTGAGTTTATGGTGTCCCTCATGTCCCTCATTTCCCTCATGTCCCTCATGTCCCCTTCCCAGTTTCTCATTATCATATTTATGTTCCTTGCTGACCTCAGTTCATCCTCACTCCTGTCCACCAAATCTTGTCCACCAAAATCCACTGCCCAGCAAGCTCAGTGGACAGTGTCTGTTCTGTCTCCCTTAGTGAGTTTATGATGTCCCTCATGTTCCTCATGTCCCTCATGTCCCTCATGTCCCTCATGTCCCTCATGTCCCTCATGTCCCCCATGTCCCTCATATTGTCCCTTGCTGACCTCAGTTCATACTCAATCCTGTCCACCAAATCTTGTCCACCAAACTCCACTGCCCAGCAAGCTCAGTGGACAGTGTCTGTTCTGTCTCCTTCAGTGAGTTTATGATGTCCCTCATGTCCCCATGTCCCCCATGTCCCCCATGTCCCCCATGTCCCCCTTGTCCCCCTTGTCCCTCCTGTCCCCTCTGATCCTTACATTTCTAAGCTCACTGTTGTCCCCTGCTGACTTCAGTCACTCATCTTTCCTACCTCCCTGTCCACTGCCCAGCAAGCTCAGTGGACTCTCTGTGGACATCTTCATTTCTGTCCACCATGCCACCTGTCAGAAGATCTGCAAGACATAATGCTCCTGGGGGACATTCTCCTGGCAGTCACACCCATGTCCCCTATGAGAAACCACTCAGGCCAGATGGACATGTCCCCTTGTCCACCACTGTGAGTGTCCTCTTCTCCCTCATGTCCCCCCAAGCTGACTTGAAGACACCTTTAGTGGACATCACCAACCTTCCCTTCATGAAACAATACTCACTCCTGTCCACCTTACCACCAACTGCCCAGGGGACAGTCATGAACTCTATCAAAAGGGGACCAAGGGATGTGGACAAGTGGGAGATTTCAATGTCCCCAGACCACTATGGAAAGGAGTTTGGGTCCACTTTAGCTGTGGTGAGGTTGTCCTCTCATCAACCAAGGGTCAAGTCCACCAAGGAAGGGGACAGGGGACATGAGTTTTCTGACTGGCTCTTGCTGGCAGAGTGTAACTATCAGCTTTGGGTGGACATGAAGTATAAGGATGGATTCTACAAGGAGCTTAAGAAATGGAGGACAGTTCAACCAGCACCTCTGCCATGGGTGTCCACTTATGGGAATTGTCATGTCCCTGTCCCCCTCTTGGTTCACTGTCTCAAGTCTGTCCACTGTCCCACCATCCATCTCAAGTCCTATGGTCAAAAACTCCCTCTTGTCCCTGGCTTGGTGGGGACAGACCCTGCTGAACTTGTCCACCCTCTCTCACATCTCAACCAGTGGGACATTGGTGTCTCATATGTGTCCCCTTACATCTTCCTTTTTGCCCCACTCATGTCCACCAAAAAGATCAGTCTCTTTCCCATACTTGTCCCCAGTTCAGGGACTATGGCTCTCTTCAGTGGACATCAACTACAAGGGGACAAATACAAAGTCAGATCTATCCCAGAATTGTCCACCTCATCAAGTCATTCAATAGCAGCTTCAGGGGGACAGACTCACTACTGTGGCTGGAGTGAGACATAGAGGCAAAGCTTGTCTGAAGATGATTCAGAGGATGGTGAATGTCCCCCAAGAGGAGTTGGGAGGATACAGGATAGAGGTGACAGTTCAGGCCTCACCTTTGGCTGATGCAAGGAGGATGGTGGACAATGTCCCCTTTTTGGAGCTGAACTTTTGGAGGGACCCTGGTGGACATGCTCAAGAATTGGGGATGTACAAGGTGGACATCAAGGTCACTACTAGGAGGGGACTTGTGGCAAATGCCAACTGGATGTACCAGAGGGCAGTGGACATGGGCATCTTCAGAGGGAATGCTCCTTCTACACCCACAAATGTCCACCTGAGGGGAATCACAGACCTGCTGGCCTCATTTGGATGGAATGCTGGGAGAAGGAAGCCTACCAAGTCCAATGACCCTTTTGCTTGGTGGACAGGTTTGGAGGGGACACAGTGGACAAAAGGTGGACAACATGGAGATGGTCCCATTGCCAAAGATGGTTTGATGTTTCTGTCCACTTTAGAACATCTCAATAAGAAATTCAAAGGAAAAAGTGGTGTACAGGAACTTGTGAAGATTCTGAGGACAAAAAGCAGACTTGGATATGTCCCCTGTCCCAAAGGGGACAAGAGTGGAAACCACAGGTTGACTGTCCATGGGTGGAAACCAATGAGGTTCAGGTGTGGACTGAAGAGCTGCCATCATGGCTTGGATGAGGGACACACTTTCAGGTGGTTTGCTGAGTTGGTGGACAGGGGACATGTGTCTAGAGAAGCAGTAGGAATAACTGCAGAAAGGCCTCCTGTAGTCAAGAATGTCCCCCCAAGGCCAGCCAACAGAGTCAAGTTTGGTCCTTCCAGGGTGGACATGGGGGACATTAGAGATCATGAGGACACGTTGGACAACAGCTTATATGTGGACCAAGTCATGATCAGGATGGTGGACATAGTCAAACCAAAAGAGAGTGGACATGAAGTAAGTGGAGTGGACAGCTTTGAGTGGTACATAGACTGACATTTTAGCTCAGCTGTGATCCACAACTTCAACCATACAAGACACTCTCAAACCTGTCCCCTCATGAGGTGTGTCCCCTGTCCCCTGTCCACCCATCTGTCCCCACCATTTATCACACCAGGTGGACAGCCAAGGATGGGAACTGTATGTTCACAGCATTTGCCAAGGCTCTCAACTTGTCCTATATCACTCCCTGGCTGGTGAGGACTGCTGCTGTGACCTATATAGAACAACATTCTACTGAGTATGTCCCCTTCCTTCCTGGTGGAGAAGCTGGAGTGGACAAGTATTTGGGGGACATGTCCATGTTGGGGACATGGGGGGACAATCTCACTCTACAAGCCATGTGCTCCTACTTTAAGGTGTGTGTATTGGTTTTGAAAAAAGAAGACAATGGGGACAGGATCTGGTTCAAGATAGGGGACAGGGGACAGAGTCAACATGTGATATGGCTTTATCTTCACCAGAATCACTATGAGAATCTTGTAGTAGCTAGTCAACTGAGTGTCTAAAGACTGACATGTCCACCTATGAATGTTTACAGCTTGTCATCTGGCAGAAAATGTCCACCATCCACCTAGCCATGGTCCACTGTCCACTCACTGTCAAAGTCAATGATGTCCACCTCTTCACCTGCCTCTCTTAGAAAGTAAACCTGTCACTGTCCACCTGTCCACCTAAGCCTCATTGTCTATGTTCACCTGTCCCCTGTCCACCTGTCCACCCAAGTCTAGATGTCCGTGTCCACTGTTCTCTTAGGGTGGACAATGTCCCCTGTCCAACATCTCTTAGTCCTGTGTTGACAATGTCCACTTGTCCACCTGTCTTCAGTCCACTGTCCACCTGTCCACCTGTCCACCATCTTACTTGTCCCCTGTCCACCTGTCCACCTGCCACCATCTCTTAGTCCTCTGTTGACAATGTCCCCTGTCCACTTGCCCCCTGTCCACTTGTCCCCTGTCCACATGTCCCCTTTCCACCTGTCCACTGTCCGCCTGTCCACTGTCCACCTGTCCACTGTCCACCTGTCCGCTGTCCACCTGTCCCCTATTCACCTGTCCACCAACTTACTTGTCCCCTGTCCACCTGTCCACCTGTAATATTGCGAACGAGTACTCCCGCGTCAGACTATC